CAGTACTACTTTGAAAAATAAATTGATCCGTTGGATGTTTCAAGATTTTGATAAAATTCATACATCCTTATATAGTAAGAATGTAAAGAATTTACAGATATAAGTAGGATTTAATGCACTTGATAATTAAATGTAGTAATAAAAAGTGACATACCATCAGCATCTTTCATATCTATTAAACTAATATCGTCTAAAGACCAACAACGATCTGCTACTAGTCTAATCTTCGTTGTATCTTTTGTCGCTTGTCTTTTTTTTTTTACAGCAACTAATAAGCAATCGTTGAGTAAAAAAAGGTGAACAGCTTGTTTCGGCCTATTAGTATTCATACTAATTTCTACAAAGTTTGAACATTCGCGAATAATATGACGACCAGGTTCCAATGTGACAAAATTCTGAAATATCATATTGTATTATATGCTTGTTAGATATCAAAAAAAAAAAAAACAATCAAGAAAAAAAAAGTCCAATCAAAAAAACCAACCTGTGCACCTTCCACACCATCCCAGAGTGCTTGAATTTGCGCTTTCCAAATTGACTGCATATCTGACGCATTATTTAAGGTTGGCTTTCGTCCTCTGTGTACAATGGGTTCAGAGGTCACTGATGGCGCTGCACGAATAATTTTACTAAATTATGACGAATACAAACGTAAAAATGTACATGTGCATTTAGGAGAGGGTCCCTACAGACATACCAGTACCAACATTTATAGATTCTGAACTATCGTCTCTCAAATCGTCACTAACAATTTGCAATTTATTTAACAATCCTCGTAAGACTAGCATATCACTTTCTAACTGTAAAGTATCATGCGAAAAAGATTAAGGACAGAAAATAATTCAAGATTCATTAAGCTGCCTTAATGTCAAATCAATTGAAATGACATATCGCTATAAGGATATTTGATATTTCTTTAGATATTGTTACGAATTCGTTATAATTTTTATACACATTTCTCTGAAGATCGATAGAGGCTAATTCTTTAGATTCTCGAAGCGAGTCTAAAAATGCTCTTACGTCATCTTCAGTGGCATTTGCCAACGCTTTTTGAATATCTGACCAAAATATTTTGCATTAAAATTTTAGTAAAAGGCGTAGGGAACAATTTAATAACTAAGATATGCACATGTTGCAGGTTTAAAATCGTCTCCAGCAAACTCCGCAATGTCTAAGGTAGGAGAATCTCTTGGATCGTCATCTGTAAATGATACCCCAACGCTGTTATTCCATTTTGACTGACGATTCATTGCTTATAGTAAAAAAATAAGATGAGGATTTTCTAAATAAGTACATCTGTTTAAAGAAGCAAGATCGGGTGTAACGTGAAATTTTATACGTAAAAATATTTCATTTATGAAACTAACTTTTTTTTGCGTTCTAAGACTTCCTTGATATAGGACTATTTCTCCTGACCTTTGGCTATCCTTGTTTTTGAAACTTCGATTTGCATGTTACACCTGATCTTGCAATATGATTGGCTGTTACGCAAATTCTTCAAGGTATATAGTTAATTTTATCTTACCATATGGGCGGATTTTGGAAATTTGGTGATATTTTCGAATAAGATCTTCAAAATTGTATCATGTTTGTAAAATTTGTGATAATTTCGAATTTATCTTATGTTGATTGGTTGATTTATTTAGTAATGCTAATCACAATACTGTATTACAGTACTTACTTTTACGAAGCCCTGCTTTTTTTTTTTTATTGTAGCAGTTTGAAAATTTGTATTTACGTTTAGCAAGACCTCAGGATCAAAGATCCCAAAATAG